AAAATCAGGCAAAAAAATGTTTAAAAAGAGAAAAAGTCAAAATTGAATTTTTATGGTCAAAATTGATGAAATCGAAGTTAAATTGGTGTTACAATCAGGAATTGAGTTTAAAGGGTTGGGGGTAATTTTGTCATATACAGTAGAACCTCGATAAATTAATACCCGATAAATTAATAACCTCGCTTAAATAATATATTTTCCCGGTCCCGACTCGGGGACAACGTGCTAAATTAATAATTCGCTAAATTTATAAGATAATACACATTCGAAAATTTTAAGAAGCCCCATATAATATATAAATTAATAATGCATAAAAATAATTCTTAAAATACATGGTATAGTACATAGTTTATAGATCTATGAAAGGTTAATACAATATAATTTAATTGTCGTTTGTTTCTTGTTGAAGTTCACATTAGGATCAATCTCATCCCTCGCTTTTTCTTAACATGGTTAGAACTTTCGGTATAGTTTTCTCATAAATCAACATAACACCGTTCTATACATTGCTGCTTTAAGAGCTTCCGCTCGTGAAACGTACTCTATAGTGCATTGAACTAATGGTACAATGAATAATATACACGTAATTTTTTTTTAAAAATGTATTTATTGAAAATAATAATAAAAGTAATTTTATAAATTAATAAGTTATTAATTAATGTATAAATTAATAATTATTAATTTATCGATAAGTTAATATTTCGCTAAATTAATGAAATTTCGATGATCCCAACTGTATTAATTTATAGAGGTTTAACTGTACATTTAATTTTATGGGTTTATTGGTCAAAGAGATATAACCCATGAACTTATAATAATAAAGATGGTTGGTTGATCAAAGACTTATGCATAAAAACCCTTGTTAAAAAAAAAATTGTATACTTTTCTAATTGCAAAAAGTTTTTTTATGCGGTTTAAAGGATAAATGACAAATACGCTTATGACAAGAGCACTTAATTAAAAAAAAAAATGGACATACAACCTCTTTGTCTTGCAAATAAATCCACTTCATTTAAATTTATTTGTAAATAAGGAAAACTCTTTTATATTTATATCAAAACTACCTCAATTTCCTTGAAACCCTAATTCAACTCCAATTTCATGATTTACATCCAAACTTGGCTCAATTTCACAAACTAATCAATTTTGATCCTTATTCTAATTTTGACCGCCGTAGACCGTCGGTCAGCCTTCGTTGACCGTCAGTCTCCGGCGTGGATTTTTTTAAAACCTTTTTTTTCTTAAAAAAAAAATATTTTCATTAATATTATTGTCTCAGCCTGCAATATTACTGTTTTGGAGACAGTAATTTAACGGTATAAGACAGTTGTTTAACTGTCTGAGAAATCAATTTTACCGTATTAATTAATTTTATTGTCTTGGCCTGCAATTTTGCTGTCTTCGAATGTAATATCATTGTCACTGAAATATTATTGTATCCGACAGTAATATTATTGTTTGGGACAATAATTTAGTAATATTACTATTTTGGCATTCAATATTACGGTCTTAAATAGTATTTTTGTTGTTAAACATAGTAATTTAGAGAGAGAAAAAAAGTTTCAGAAAAAAATGTCTAACGCCTGAAACTGGCCGGAAAAAAAAAATCAGAAAATTATTTTCTGAAAAAAAATATTATTTCAAAAAAATCTGAAAATGAGGGTTAATGTGATATATTTGTTCAAATCCGGGATCAATATGAAATAATATTGAGGAAGTTAGATGAAAATTATATTATGAGACATACTTTACACAAAAAAACACATGAATATGAGTTTATTTGCGAGACTGTTTTTGTGTGAACCTATATGCATTTAAGTCCCTTGTCATTGTACTATTTGCCCGTAGTTCAAAAGATGCAAAAATCTAAAATAAGAATTTTGGACTTTAAAATAAAATATTATTAAAAAATGGGAAAAATTTGGATCAAAATAGAGGTAAATGGGAAATTTCGTGCCAATTTTTATGTACCCCTAATTATATATGACCTAAAATGTTCTAAACGGCGTCGGTGGCTACTCTTCTTTTCGCCTCGTTTTAGTTTGGTCGTTGATAACAAACACAACCCCGTAATAACTCCTTCAAATTTCCCACAGGAGAAAGAAAAGAGATGTCTTCTGGCGGCGGCGGCGGCGGCGGCAGCGGAAGCGGAGGAGGAGGTTACAGAAAGGAGAAGAGAAGAACAAGTTCACATCGTCGTCGTCAACAATATAAAAAAACTACTGATGATGAAAACAACAACAACTGTTCATCATCATTTACAGAAGAAGAAAAAATGGAGGAGGCTCCTCCAATTCATACAAATTCCCGCTGGGTTCCGGCAGTTGAATCGGATTCCAGACCTCCTGCTGATCTAAATGGAAAGGAGGAGGATGACGATTCTGCAGCAGCATTAAATATTTGTTCAAAGGGGAAAGAAAAAGTTGAAATTAAATTGAATTCAAGTAATGAAGTTGAGGAGGATGATATTGTTCAAAGATTACTACAGGACCTCAGACTTAGTGTTCAAGAGGCCGACGACTTGTCCGATGAATTGCTGAGCATCAATCAACAGCTGCAGGATGATGAGGTACTACATTATTACTTATTAATGCTAAATTGAATTACTTCTTTTTTTTCTCTCTTATTCAATTTGCCAGTGAACCAATTCTTCAATTCAAACACTAATGCCTATTGTTGAATGTCTGATCCAATTCTTCAATTTTATGTATCTTTTCTTTCTTTAAGAAGTAATAACCTTTTCAAAAAATGTTGTTGTTGACTTTCCTACCAATTAATGGAACAAAACTGAGACGCAGAATCTAGTTACAGTCTCTGCTCTCGTGCTAGATTCATGTTTTAACACAATTGTTAAAATAGATATATGTGAGACAGATGAACGAATGCTTATGCTAAACTATAAATTATGTATAAAGTCGAAAATCAGATGATGATCTGTCTGTTTTATACTACTTGTAGTGATCTTGGAAACTGGACTGTAAGGATAAATAAGTGTTGTTGAATTGATTCGAGTGTACATTTTGATGTATGAGAAAGAGGATCTATCGTACATAAATACTCTATGGAGAACAAACAAATTGGAGCTGGAAGAAAACCATAGGAATATTCTCCTCAACTATCCAAAAAACTGTAGGATCGATTTACTCTTTCAGAATAACCTAACAAGACAGTTAATAGCTTATGTTTTCAAATATCAACATCAGGAATCTTATCAACAAATACACTTACAAGAGGTTGATGACTTGATGTAGCAATGAAAGTGAACAGAATTTGATTAGTCGCCTATAAAACGGATTAAAAGAAAGAAGCAATAAAAAAGCATCAATTGATCATTTCAAAAGCTCTAGATTACATGCCTATGAAACACCGTGGGCTTCTTTCTCACTTGTTGCAAAAGTATGAGAGAGTATTTCTTAGCACTACTTTAATGAAATAACAAATTTGTAACCTAAACTGTTTTCGAGTATTGGCAGTTGGCACAGTAAATTTTGAAGTAAAAAAAGTTATTTGAGTGATGAACTTTGAGAAAATCACATTCTAAGGATGCCGACTGCATAAGACTTTGCTTCTATCATGCACTAACATAGACACAATTACGCAGAGGCAAAGCGCACTTATAAGAACCTTCATTAAAACTTTAGAGTTTTTGCTATTTTCTTAGTTGTTTACCTCTGTAATATACCTGAGAAGACGACCCAGTTTGTTTTCGAAATGTCAGAAACGTACCAGCCGACATGTTAAACATGCCATCAGTCATATAAGAAATCATCTCTTTTTGTTTAACTTTAATATATGTACACAATTTGGTGTATGTATCAGAGGCTTGTCATGTCAGACCCGTGCCCAACATGACACAGATGATTCTTTAGTGGGTCTGAGCATTATAGTTTACCTATCTTCTAGGGTAGATGCTCATCAATCTTGAATTTAATGGAGTGACAGTAAGTTTGCAATTAGTAGGCAATGAATTTTAAGAGAGTTATTTTTTTGGTTAACAATGTTCGTTATTAGATATCGACATCCTTTTCATGTTTGCATATTGGAGGTGATGGCATGAAGGAATGTGCTAAGTAACGAACATGAAATATCGGGAATGGAGTTAAGGTTGATGCATTAGGATTTAGCCATAGTACACTCTCCGCTTAGTGTTAGGCTGTGGAAGTAGAATGCTTTATATAAAGTACATTGTCGATGGAGTTATTCACCGGATATTCTCTATAACTTAGTTGGCTCTAAATCAGTTCTCGAACCTGCTAAATCTTCAAAATCTTTCTTGTGTCTATTTCTTCATTAAATCGTGGATTGAAGGAAATAGATTCAAAAACTTTGACTTCCCTGCCACTGAAAATGCTTCAGCTAAGCTAATATTCTGCTACAGACTTGTCTCTTTGCTGCAGATTGAATACTTGAGACTGAAGGCACTTTGTTCATGCCAAATAAACATGTGTATTGTGCTCGTTGAATGGAATATATGTACTATTTGATTGTGTGTATTGTTGGTTCAGTGGCTCTGACTGGATATTTGCTTTCAAAGAGATATGGATTTAGAAATGTGAAATCTTTGTGGTCATAACATAGTGTGAGATGTCAAATATAAAACATTTAGGGGTACAAAGCAGTAAAAGTTGAATTTCGCAGGGTTCACAGAGGTGATACGTAATGCAATTCTCCGTGGTTAAGTTTTGACAACTATTGCATCTGTTACTTTAGTCTGAGAATAAAACTACAATGGTCTGGAAATGCTAAATATACAATTTACACTATCGTGTAGTAAAAAGTCATTAAAATGAATCGGCTGCAAAATCAGGAACATGTTTTGGAATTTCAAATTCAATTCTTAATGATGGAACAAAATGTGAAAGTAAGTCAATTATCATTGTTTCCTGTTAAGACTGACCCAGAAGTTCTGAAGTGACACAAGTGGGATCATATCGTGCTTGCCTTTCCGTGTTTGTGTGTTTGTGTGTGTATATAGGGATTCTCTCTCTCACAATGTTTTTGTTATTGTTATTGGTTTGCAGCTGCTAGCTATGGAATCTATTTATGGAGATAACATTTTGATTCTAGACAACCAAAGTGGCTTAAAGTGTTTTCAGGTAACTAAACCAGTCAAGACTAAGTTTTTTTTTTTTTTTCTTTTTTTTGGATAAACACAATTTTATTAATATTGGTTCTGCTCTACAGGCTCATATTAACATTGAAGTGCCCAAAGGAGTTTGCATCACTGCAAATTTCGGGTCCGATAAAAGAGATGACATTTCTTCAGATTTTTCATACTCTTTCCAAGTGGAATATCTCCCACCAATTATATTGACATGTTTATTACCAAAATCATACCCAAGCAATAGCGCTCCTTACTTTACGATATCTGTTCAGTGGATGGGATCTTCTAGAATTTCTGAACTGTGCTTAAAGCTTGACGAAATATGGTTACAAAATGCTGGGCATGAGGTTATATACGAATGGGTGGAATGGTTACACAGTTGTACACTCTCTCATTTTGGTTTCGATGCTGAGATACTTCTTGGACCCTATGGCTTAAGACAAGATAATAAAGATATGAGGGCGATTTCGTCAAGTGTCTCCCTTGATATTGATATTCCTTCATTAAAGAGTTACAATGAGGAACAGAAGCACCACAATTTCTGCAGGAACATGCAACAATGCCGCATCTGTTTCAGCGAGTTTCCTGGTAAGTGATTTATATATTTGCAGAATTTTCCATTAAAAAAAGACAAGAAAAAATGTTGAATGACATTTATGTCCTTTGTTAGGTTCGGATTTCATAAAACTGGCGTGTGAGCACTTCTTCTGCGAGAAATGCTTGAAAACATTTTCAGAAATACATATAACCGAAGGAACAGTGATGAAACTGGAATGCCCAGAAGCAAAATGCGAGGGAATGATTCCACCGGGTTTACTTAAAAGATTATTAGGAGAAGAAGAGTTTGAAAAGTGGGAGTCTTTGATGTTGGTCAAAACACTTGAATCAATGAGTGACGTCGTTTACTGCCCGAGATGTGAGACAGCTTGTATACAAGATGAAACGGACCACGCTCAATGCTCAAACTGCTACTACAGCTTCTGTACCCTCTGTTGGGATCGACGTCATCTTGGAACAACATGCACTTCTCCAGAGATGAAACTTGTTCTTCTGCAGGTATCGATATATGTATATATCTTTTTTTTTTTTTTTTTTTCATTTAATTGGTTTTTCGAATAAATATGAAAAATCACAAACAATTATTTATGATGATGTCTTTAGAAGCGACAGGCATCAACTTTAATGAAGGGAGAACAAAGACGGCGCGAGCAAGATATGATAAATCAGATTTTGAGTGTAAAGGAGATAAATCGATTTGCAAAACAATGCCCTCGTTGTAAGATGGCTATATCAAGAACAGAAGGTTGCAATAAGATGGTGTGTGAGAATTGTGGGCAATATTTCTGCTATGTGTGTAATGAAGAAATATCTGGATACGAGCACTTTAGGGATAGTAAGTGCAAACTATTCCCGACAGAGGAAATTCAGAGGTGGGAAGATAGGATGAACAACGGTCTCCAAGTTGTTGGTCAGATCCAAGAACAATTGATTACTGGTAATGCTCATCCATGCCCTAATTGTCGTCAGCAAAATGTCAAGGTAATAATAATAATTAAATCGGTTTCAGAATCAGTCTCTCACTCAGTTAAAATATGTTTATTTGATTTCATTCGATTAACGAGTGTTGTTTGGTGACAGGTTGGGAATAACAACCACATTTTGTGTTGGGCATGCCAAAATCATTATTGCTACTTGTGTAACAAGACGGTCAGGCGAAGCACGCAGCATTATGGTCCAAAGGGTTGCAAGCAGCACACACAAGGATGATATTTTTACATATACATATATACATACATACAGACATACATATCTCCGGACATGTAAATTTGACACATTGTCGCCTACACATAATATAACAATTCTTATAATAAATGATGCGCTGTCATTTGAATGATATTCGAGAGCAATAAGGTTAATTGTTGTTTTGGAAGCATCTCGATTTTTACTTGATGAAAATTCATCAACAAGTTTTGGGCTTGAAATTTATGAGTAGCAATGCCAACAAGTAAAGTTGCTCATCACTTGCTCAAATGGGCTAATACTATTTTTGCATCTCCTTCCATAATTTATTCATCTTACTTGTTTTTCTGATGTTGAATTTCTCTTTCTGGACTCTTATTTGACTGGTTTCTTTCAAGAGAATCACAAGATTAATTGAATCTAGTTATAACTGGGTTTAAGCTTATTAGTGATATATTAATCATAATCAATTAATATTATAATTTTATGTTCAAAAAATAAATTAATATTATAATTTAATTTCAAAATCTGGTGGAAAATGCAAATAATCAAACAATTCATGTTACACTCTGATGGATGAATGAATATACATCTAAAGTAATATATCCCCTTCGAGTAAAATATTTGGATACTTCGCATGACAATGTAAAGTGAGTTTGCCTATCTGATTTGTTAAAGTTTTAGCATGATATTGTTTTTTCCATTTGTACATAGGAGTTATTTGCACAGACACCCCCCCCCCCCCCCCCCCCCCCAAAAATCTTCAGATATAGTTCCCGCACAATAAAGACACTACAAATCATATCCCCCGATCGCACTATAGTCATTGGCTCGTCCCGACCTCTATATATCTTCTATGACGGTGCGATCGTTCCCCGGGTAGCAATCGTCACGTGCATGACTAAAAGAATCGAATTCTCTAA